ATGGCTGCCTAAAAACACTGCAGGATTTGTCAAATATGCATGAATGAGTCAAAGCAAGGCTTTGGGCATGTTTTGTATGAGAGTGTAACATCATAACATGATATAAAACTCAAAAAAGTTGATTTTACATGATATTGCCCCTTTAAGAAACCTGCAGCTGATTGGTCTGTGAAGCTGTCTGTCTACACTATAGTGGCTCATCTTTTGGCAGCCAGCGAGCAGACTTGTCACTGGCTCCCCTGGATGATGGAGCTCCTCACCCTCTATCTAAGGCTGAGCCCGGCCACCCTATGAAGGAAGCTCATTTTGGCCACTTGTATTTGGGATCTCGTTCTTTCGGTCATGATCCACACCTCATGACCGTAGGTGAGGGTTGGAATGTAGACAGACCAGTGAATAGCTTTGCCTTTTGACTCAGCTCTTTCTTTACAATGACCGAATGAAGAAACACCCTCATTACTGAGGACGAGGGCCCCAATCCATTGATTCTTCTCCATCTCCATCTCCCTCCTATCGTCACTCATGAACAAAACACCCAGATTCTTAAATTCCTCCACTTGAGTCAGAGACTCTACCCCGACCCAGAGGTGGCATTCAACCCTTTTCCAGTTGAGAACCATGGCCTCAGACTTAGAGGAACTGACATTCATCTCAGCCGCTTCACACTCAGCTGAAAACTGCCTCAGTACCCGCTGAAGGTCTTGATCTAAAGACACCAACAGAACCACATCAGCTGCATACAGTACAGACAAGACCCTATGGTTCCCAAACCAGACACCTTCTTCTCCATGGCTGTGCCTTGAGATCCTGTCCATAACTACTACAAACAGGATCTGAGATAAGGACAGCCCTGGCTGAGTCCAACCTGCACTGAGAACAAGCTCGACTTTGTGCCAAGAATGCGAACACAGCTCCTGCTTTGGTTCTACAGGGACCGAATTGCCCTTAACCAGACATGTCCTAAACCAAACCTCCACCCAAAATTACCATATATACCCATGGAGACTGGGCCTTGGTCTCCACAATGCATATTTGGTCCCCACGAGGCTGCATTTTTCTGGAAAWTGGTTCCCCCAATGTGGCAAAAACATGCCCCCCCCCCCACACACACACACATTAACATAGGTAAAAACATTATTACTCTGCAGCCAATAATTACATGATCAGTCATACCAGCCAACCTTTAAATTATTCACTTGAGTCCTCACAATTCAGCTGAGCTCTTAAGTTAATTATGCTACACCAGGGGTAATAAAGAAGATGGATGACACCCATTCATACATACAGTGCACACCACCACTCTGAGACAGCAACTGAAGACTGGTAAGGTCAGAGACCTGCAATTGATGGAAGTGTCATTCTATCATAGTGAAAATCTGCCAACAAAATAGGATCATAGATTGACTTCTCGTTGCTCCAGGGAATCAAACAAACAGCCTGAGACAGKTCAGTGGCCTTTCCCCAAATGCTAAACCTCAGAATCTAATCTAAACAAGCAATCACTCATTTTCTGTGACTGTCATCAATTTGTATGACAATAACTGTCATATCCAGTTGAGGTTTATTGACTCGCTGATGCTTAAGTCCAGAGTCGGTTAAAATCTTCAAGATCAGCAGAACTATCTCTTATTGTGTTGATAAGACATTATGAAAGAGTGCAAACYTTGTATGCTGATTTTCTGAAAGAGTAAATTAAGCTAATCAACTTTTTAAAAAGGCATTTTGTAACCAGCTTATGGCAAGATTTATAAACAAGCAATGTTATTGGTATCAGGGGTGGAAATTAGCACCCGCCACTGGCCAAGTGCGGGTAAAATTATGAAGTGGCGTGTAGATCTGAACAACGCACCCGCCTCCGTGGCGGGTGTGTAATGAACTAAAATATAAATAAATAAATAAAATGTGTTCAAATTGTGCTACTGACCTTTGTCAAAACCTCAGTTTTGTTTTTATTTTGCATTTCAGAGCCTGTAGGACGTTAAAAAAACATTAAATAAAATCATCTTCCAACCCGCTCTGCAGCTAGAAATAAGTTCCCCCCTCCTCCTTTCCTGCARGCTGTCATCTGTGTGGTCCGCCTYRCCATCCCCCTCGCACGCATTATACAGGTAAACATCCGATTATCAGAAGGAGAAAATAAAAACACCAACTTTAATGCGGCGTTACATACCTGGAGTTAATTGGGCAGTTAACCCTTTCTCAAGAGGGACCAAAGGAAGAACCGAAAGTTACATGTTTTTTTAAACAATAAATGGAAAGAAAAAAATGGACAATGGTGAGTTTAACAAATCCGTGTATGGTCCATTCTTTTTTTTTTTTTTTTCGTTTCAAAATAAAATTGCAAAAACAAAACAAGCATGTTGTATTTTTGTTTTCTGTTTTTTAAAACCTAAATGTAAAAATGCAAAATCGAATTATAGAAAATCAACAGCATTTGATTTTTGCTTTGGTCATCTAAATAAAAACAAAATGTGGTTCTTTTAATTTGTAGCGATGCCGGAAATGAAGTGAGTCGCCAAAGCAGGATAGTTTACAGTGGATAAGACGGCATAAAAACAAACCAGTCCTAAATAATAGGCAATGGCTGCACTTGAACCATTTTCAGCATTGATTATCAAACTTTTTGAGAGAGGAAACACTCTGAAATCAGTAACACTTTGCGTCACCACGGAGCTCCACATTACTCGGTAAGGAGTGTCAGAAGGTTTTGTATGGAGCACAACTTGCGAAGACACAACAATGTGTCTTTTCATAAAAGATTTTTTAATAATATGTATCTACTTCACAGGGTGCCTGTAATCTGAACCCCATCCCCTACCATGCAGAGTATGGCCACAAGCTGCACATGGACCAAAATGAGAAGTTGGGGATGTTTGGAGTTACCCATGTTCTTTCAGTTGATGGGTACAGTTCCAAAATTGTTGCACACTCTACAATYCCAGTAAAAAAACAATCTCATTATTTATGAGGAAGTGTAAAGGTGAGTGACATACCTGAATGAACATTTTATATGTTGATCTCAAATATTATGCTGGACTTTATGTATGCTTTGCTGTGTATTATATGTAATGTTTTATGTGACATCAACTGCAGTATATACAGTACGTCATACACATATACTGAAAAGCATATCTTTTTTTATTACAGATCTGCAGTTGTCACTTATGGAATGTGGGACCAAGTGAAGGTAGACCATGGGAAGGAGTTTTACTTAAGCCTGTACATGCAGGAAATCCTTTCCAGATACAGATTGAATGTTGACAGGCCGCCTTATGTTCAGACTACATCTTCCAGGGTAGGATTATGTGTTTCTTAAACAAGAAAAACAAGATTGTTTTATRATAATCTTGGTTTACTGTATATTGTTTTATTACTTAAACATACTAATTGTCAGCTGCTTATTCACTTTTGATTATACAATAATCTATAATTTGTTACCTTATACTTTTTAAATGTGTAATGATTTTTTTTTTCAGAATATTAGGGTACAGCAAATCTGGCCAGAGGTGAACAATCGCGTCAATTATCTACTGAAGGCAGATTTGGTGCACCTGGTAGATCAAGAGACCCTCGACATGCAGGACAACACTACAAAATACTGTGTTTCTAACTTTGGGTGCCTTCTCAGCCAGATCGGATTAAACCGGGTTGTCAGTGCATGGAACGCTCACAGGATTCCAGGTAAGTGAAGTAATTGTCTTAAAATGATCACCTGAGTCCTGTAGACACACATTATCCTACCACTGTGTAAATGTAGCTATTAGTCCACACCAGATGTTTAAGTTTCCAGTTTCTATCCATGAGGCTGACAKTCTGTCTACTTTTAAGATTAGACTGAAGACTTTCCGTTTTGATAAATCCTATAATTAGACTTAGGTTTCCTGAATTATTCTTCATTTCTGCTGCTATAGACGTAGACTGCTGGAGCACAAACTGAGCACATTTRCTCACTCTGCTGTTGTCTTTAGTCTCTCTTCTCTACATGTTTATTGTAATTATTTCTATCAATAACATTTTTTCTTTTTGTCTCTTCCAGAAGAAGGTGCACCTGGACCAGTCCTGGACCAGTTCTTCTGTGTTTACCTGTGTCTCTTTCCTGTCCCCCAACCAGCCGGTCGAGGCAGATGGCCGCCTGTCCTGAGCCTGGTTCTGCTGGAGGTTTCTTCCTGATTAGCAGGGAGTTTTTCCTCTCCACCGTTTGCTCAGGATGGGAGACTGTGATGAAGTGATTCAACACAATCTGCTGGTTTCTTCTTTAGATTGTTCTTTTTACGTACATTGCCATGAGACAACATATGTTGTGACTTGGCGCTATATAAATAAACTGAATTGAATTGAATTAAGAATAGGCTAAATTAGCTCTGTTTTGTCATGTGGATTGTTCAACCACCTTTAAACATAAGACAGACGTTCTTTCAGGTGTTCATTTCACTTTTCTTTTTCTAGGCCGAGGAATACCCAATCAGCTGGCAATTGGGGGAAGTGCTGCCAAAATTGCAGAAAGCCTGTTAACCTACCTGTTACCCTGTGCTACTGATGCACATCACCAGTATCAGCAGGATTTGGGATCTTCTCTGCGAACAGAGTCAACCTTTAGTGTGYACCCATTTCATAACGAAGAAGACAGAAGCCTGGCAGAGGTGGAGTTTGGGGCTACTTACCCAGATTTGTCTATAATTTTTAACAGTGTTGTCAACAATGACTACAGTATTTTCAATGAAGCACTTTTCTGCCTGCTCCATGTGAGAGACATGGATGAAATGTTAGAGGGGTGAACATTTTAATAAAATTATTCACACGTTTGAAATAAGTGGTGATTGTGAATTAATCCAAAATTATCATTTACAGTATATAAAAAAGACAGAAATTTAGTTTCAGTGCAAAACAACTATCTTTTATTGTAAAATGTCTGTATAAAAAAAATAAACTTTTGAACATTATTATAAACGTAAGACAACCTTTCCCCAATGTCATAAAACAATATTGTGATGAAAAATAAATAAAGGTAAAAAATAAAGAAAACTTGTTTAGTTAGGAAGTTTGTTAGAGCTAATAAAAAACACTGACCAAACACTCTGCTGCTCGCTCGGCTTGGCAGAAAACAGAAAACTTTGGTATAAAACAGGGTACTTTACAAGTATAATGAACTGGAACTGTATTATTATTATTAACAAACCTGAACATTTTTAACAATATTAACCTGTTCAACAAATGATGTCGCGCAGAGCAGCGACTGCATCATCCAGCCCCACAACTGATTGGATGTGGAATTCAAAATCCTCCCCACGACACTTTGGACAGTGAGTATGGCTTTCATGCCACTGCTGCAAGCAAGACTGGCATCCAAGAAGACTTCTACAGCAGTCCGCAAACATTGGCTCCTTCATAGGATCTGTATTATTATCTGTATAATTGCAACATTGCACAATATTTTTTAAAKAAGTTTTACATTTAATTTGCTTGGTATAGACAATACTTAACACAATCATCAAAATAATATTCTGCATAGCAACCTAAAATCAATAAAATAACCTTTGCATATGATGCAAGCAAAAGCAGCTCTCACAGCTGCAGCCTGATTCTCGTTAAGGCACAGTGCTGTGTGCTGATTGGCCTGCACAAACTGAACAAGGTCTTTCAAGGTTTTTGAGATGTCCTGCAGACCCTGTAATGCAAGAACGACCTCCTCTATTTGGTCCAATACACTTGGCAATCCAGTGTCCTCTTGGTGACTGAAAACACAAAACATTGTTTCAGTACAGCAAAACAGTGAAACAACTGAAACACTTCATGACTTGAGCTTAAACAATGACCTTTCTCTCCTTATTTTAGTCCCTCTTAGCCTTTGGTGTTGTCCCTCTGGCACAGCATATATTTTTCTTGCGTGCTGCTTCCAGAAAGCAGGACCTAATAGTTTTATAAAACACAAAACATTCAAGTCAAACTCAGTTTTCAGAATGAAACTTTTAAAAAAACAATGCGAGCCCCAGTTTTTGTTTTTATTAAAATGTAGTTACCTCTTGTTCCTTCACAGTCCACAWTTTTATTGTAGTGACTGTCAATGAGGACAATTAGCTCATCCTGCCCAAGAGCATCAACCACTTTGGCTTTGATACTGGCCACTGATGACTCAAACTCAGAAAATTTGACAGTGATTGTCTTTTGAGTTTCGAGGGCCCCATCAGTTACCTCAGCTACAAAGACACTCCTYAGGGTAAACAAAACACCAACTTAGATGCATAACGCTGCAGGTTAAATAACGTTATAAAAACTGTTATAYTTTTACCTTTGCATCATCTTTACTCCACAGGCTCTTGGAGCCTGAAGACTAGAGGAAGAACTAGATGAAGCACTTGCACTTTGGGCGGGGGGGGGGGGCAAACCTCACAGGAGGTTCAGTCGAAGCTGGGGTGAAGGCATCACCAGTGATCTCACCATGGACCTCATTGTGGCTACTGCCTCTTAGTTCAAAAGTGCCAAAAGCCCCTCCCTCATCAGGCAACACACCTCGGTTGTCATCAGCTGTTAAAAAAATGGAGTCTGCACGTACCTGAAAGAAAAAAAAGTTAGAGTACCTAAATGGTAAATAATACATTGATTCATTATAAAAACATTGTGTGGTTAGCCCATAACATGCTTTTTTTTTATTACTTCAAATTTAAAGTTTCTATTGTCGTATTTGCCCTATGTGTTATTCCAAATTTCACAACACTTGATGCTAATGATTCAAAACACAGACATGAGAATAATTAAAAACAAAATCTGGGCTTTAAATCCCTGAGTAAACTAAGAACTCAGCCAGAATTGTTACTAGCATTAGCCTATGGTCAACTATTGTTAAACATCCACAGAAGGTTAATCAAATGTAATGATTTAATTACTTACTTGGAATATTAAAGCAATCTTGTCGGCAGTAAGATCATCAGCTCTCAATGAGATGRGTCGATTCCCTCTAAATAATACAAACGTATCCATTTTTGAACTAGCAGATTCGGAAGTGCTAACTGAAAAGAGTTTGTGTCGGGAGATCAGGTCTTCATTTCTGGTTCCGCCATAAGGTCCCATTGAATTACTGGTAATAAAAAATAAAAGCTCGTCTTTGGTTTAACCATTGCGGTTTTAAAAAAACATAGCCCTTTTTTATTTTTACAATTTCCGTTTTTGTAATTTTGTTTTAAACACGGAAAAACAAAAAATCACATGCTTGTTTTGTTTTTGCAATTTTATTTTGAAACCAAAAAACCAAAGAACGAACCATACACGGATTTTAAGAGGACAGTTAATTTTGTTTCATCTGTCGGAAAACAGCAAAGCTGAACTGTAGGCTGGCATCAAGAGCAAAAACCTGAAATCAGCTGATTAAAAACACTGTTTACATAAATGTTAGTTTAAAAAAACTCCATTAGTTAAATATTTTAACTCAATAACCATGATCTCTTTGATTGACCAATAGAAACTCAAGGAAAAACAGTTTTTAACCTCTAGGAAATGTCTGAATATCAGCTGACAGTGCCAAAATAAATAAATAAATAAATAAATAAATAAATAAATAAATCTGATCCTTCTTTTCCCTTAACTTTTCTCTGCAGGCTATTTTTGGATGCAGAACAAAACAAAAACCCAGGCAAACTAAGTAACAAAATGAACCTTGTGACATGAACTTTTTCAAAAGTAAAAATAGAAATGATCTCATGCTGAGAAAATGGATCATCAGAGGGAAATCTCACTTGGAAGACACATGTTCATGCTAGTAGCCTGCAGAACAAAACCTACAAGTGATAAAAGACAAAGGCTGATTTTATTAAATGGAGATAAATTTACCACAGGTAATTTAGTTGCAAGGTAATTTGTTTATTTTTTTTACCATGAAAATTTCTCCCATATTATTAAAGTTAAAACGTTTTTTTTTTCAGCCAAGTAGCCCACCTAAAATAATTGGTGTTCCACCTACATACCAGCAAAAAGCAWGTTAGTAAGAGAAGTAGAGACATCAAAAAGTCCATCATTTTAATTTTGGGCAAACAGGTTGGCTTGAATACTCTTAAGACACTAATAGATTTTGAGTGCCATTATCTGATTTTAGCACGAACACTTTAATTAGGCCACCAGGACCATGAATTGTCTAAATGCCACCGTGTTACACAAACAAAAAAATAGTGGCTGGTAAAAAGTTTGAGTGGCCGGTACAAAACTTTTTCTACCAGCCACTGTGGCTGGTGGGGACATTTTTTTAATTTCCACCCCTGATAGTTATACATAAATGCCCATTACACTAAAATATCAATACAATCCTATTCATAGACAATATAAACAGACAGTACTTACTTGTCCACCCAGGATTTAGCTACTTGCATTATCAGCTTTTTGTTTCGTTCTTTTATATCCTTCTCCAAATCAGCTTTGTCTCACCAGAAACATGTCAAAGGACATTCTCACTATGAAATGTTAGCAGTATAATAATCCAGGATAGCAGTGTATCAGTCCATGCACATTAATCCTAACACCTAACCAGCTGTGAGCTACAGCAAAGCAGAAAATGTACAAGTGTCAAACTTCCATTATGTTTAAAGAACACAAATATCCCCATTAACAAGCTTTTTGCAGACATTTAAAATGTACATTGATGAGATTTTGATTCACTGTGCATCAGCACCTGTACATACAATTACTATCTACGACTAAGCTATACATGTTTACACGTTTTTGTGGAACATCATTGTCAGATCAACAAAAACTGCAACTCAGTAGGAAAGATCATTCTGTACCTTGACTTAAGTCTCAGATGGTGTATTTTTTGGCAGTGTTGCTTTCCTAAAAGCTACCTTACAACCAGTAGAAAATTATTTCCTGTTATAAGCTAACACATTCAAAGTCACAGACTAATTATGTCCTGGGACAGCTATAAACAACAGGTACCTGTAATTATTTTGGTGATCATGGCATCAAGAACAATTTATGTACCTTGTTATCTTTAGCTGAAATTTCTGTTGTTTTTTCAGCAAAGCCTTAGAAATTACAATTTTGATTTCCATGTAGAGAAAGAAACAGACTCACATGCAAAGGTTAGACTGGCCTCCCGGCTGACAATTGTCCCAAAAGAGTTGGAGGCAAGGCACTGATATGTTCCAGCATCTTGGTCTTTGTTCAGACGACTGATTCTGAGGTTGCCTCCAGAAAGGCTGTAGTGAAATCCAGCTTTGTGAATGATTTCTGTTCCATTCAATTTCCATCTAAAATGGAAAAACAAAGAAAGGAGGAAAATATTAATCAAAGTCAATCTGAACACTTTTCAACAAAGACTGAAGCATTAAAGATTACAAGAAGAGCATTTGTTGTTTATTTGATTGCATGTTCATTATAACCTGCTACCAAAGGTAAAAGGGCAATACTGTTTTTACCCGTACTCATATCTGCATGTGTGTTTGTCTGTACCATTAGCAAAATATTTCATAAATCAATCGAAATTTTAATGGAACTTTCAATAAAGTAATCATTGGGCTGACATCCACTTTAACTCAAGATGGCCACCATGGCAAACCAAACTTTTTCAAACACAAAACTGTTTATAACTCGGTTACATTTAGACGTATTAAACTAATGTTTGTTGTAGTGGTAGCCAAGTGAAATACATGGTCTAAAGGTCTAAAACTGGTATCTTCCAACTTCATGGCAATTTAAGCTGTAGTGAACCCTTATGATGCCAAGAACTTGACTCTAAGAAAAAACAAAGTGGAGGCCATTCTTCTTAACAAACCCCAACCAGACCACATCAAAACTCTGCTTAATCATTATGGTGGCACAATTAAAACAAAATTGATGCTTAAAAACTTCAGCCTTCCCATTTGAATCAAGTGTATGTGTCTARGAACCAATTATTTTATGAATGACCAGACTTTGAGTAAAAAAATCATTGGCTATACATCTACAACTGAATAATATTTGGAACCAAACTATTTCAAGACAACTACCAGAGTTGTTCAAAAATAGCCAACACAAAAATACTATAACTCTGCCCATTTAAATTTTACATACATTGAAGAGAAAATTGTTTGGGTAATAGCTTAAAGTCATGTTTTAAGGGTTACTTGTTGTGTAACATCTTTACCACTAACTTTGACTACCACAACTAATCAACACGAGATATCATAAAAATTGTTCTAGCTTTTTCAGTGTAACAGATATTGAGCTAAAATGTGGTAGTAGCTTAGAGAAATTTTCAGCGCAACCATGAGCGTGACATTTTGCAAGGATGTTTAAGGCTGTGCATACCAGCGTGTCTAAAATTTGATAAAACGACTAACCCTAAGCCTAACTTTATGGAACGGTTCACTTTATGGATCCAGGTTAATTTGAGTCGATCACTAAAATAACTAGTGGAGCTTTTCCATGAGCCAACCGGTGCAGCCCGGACCTGACTTATCAAGCACAAGCTTTTTCCGAGGAGTTGAACTGAGCAGCTCAGACCGGACTTGTCATGAGTCCAAACTGTTTGTGTGGAGATGAACCGAGCAGCTCAGACCCGACAGCATAGCCAGTGAGTTATTGAACCAAGATGTATGACTGTGAAGCATTCCAGTGACGCTGTTTTTTAAATTGTTGTTGTTGTTTTTTCTCTCAGTGTGTTTGCTAATTTGTGGACGGTATTGTGATGTCTTCCTGAGGACATTAGGGATTCAGGTTAATTTATACTTTGGATTTGTGGAACTTGATTCAGTGCTAGGACACAAATCCTTTATTGAGTAGCTCAGGAACCGACCAGCTCTATTTAACATAAGCTGACCTTAGTCTAAAACTCTTGCATGAAACAAGGCAGGTGATTCTTTCAAGATATTGTAATTTTTTAAGTATAATACACCTTTTTTGTGTTGTTGCAGGAAATCAGGTATTTTGGGGGCTGAGGCCATGGATGCCTGCTGAGTAGGTGCAGGATAGTCATATAATCCAAGCAGTAGCTGATTGCATGAYAAACAATGTCAGACTGTGGCGCTCTCCCACCTACATGCAATCAAATCCCTCACAAACACCAGAATTCTTGTAGACCAAGGCAGAGCTGCACTCACAGAGCCCCTCTGCAGACTCCTTTCTTTTAATAGACACAATGTGCAGCACAATGGTTTTTCACAGCCCTTCTACAGTTCAGTCATAAAGTAAGTGTCCGCACTCGAGAGCCTTATTACTACACACAATAGAGAAGAGCCTGTGGGAGGTGGCCGCATTCCCACAGGATGACAGCAGCAATTCATTTGCAGCTGAAATGGAACAAACAAATAAACAAAAAAWAAATAAAACAAAAAAGAGATATAGAGAAATTTCACAACCAAACACATTCAACCTGAAAAGCAAAGTAAAGCATCAAGGGGGATATGGAGGTGATGTTTCTGTATCAAAAACAGATCACACTCTCATTTTCTATCTAAAAAGCCATCCCATCTAATAAGGAAGCAGCCTCTATACAGCTGTAATTGCTCTGAGTACGTCCGCATCAGATCCAAAGATAAACAACTTAATCGGTGACAGCTTGAAAAACCAAATGCTGTGTGAGATTGTCTCCATCAGRTAATCGGTTCAGCACTATCTGTGTCTTTCTAAAACATTGGACTGTGTGGGGATGGTAATTAGGGCTTGAAAATGTTTAGATTTATGTGAAAGGGTGATCATGATCCCCTCTGAAATGGTAAGATGAAGGCATTTTGATTCCATAAATGCTCAATATTGTATGTCTGTGGCAGTTAGGCATGGTGATGATTCACAATAAGTACCCATCAAAAGCTGCTATTGTTCCTTTGTGACAAGCTAAAGTGCCCCTGACAACTCGTGTCAGTTTTATAGTGATTTTATTCACTAATATTTAGATATTTTTTGTGGCTCTTGCACACATTTTAGCACCAGATAAATTGAGCGAAGGAAACAGCATGAGGGAAACTTTGAACCACAAGAGGCTGTCACTGTTTATCTTTCATGAGAGGAAGAGCAGCAGAATACATCAAACACATGTTAAATAGAAAAATTATTCATTCTGTTTATAGTGATTTATAATGGCAAGCAGGCCACAACAGCAGCTCCATTTGTTAAGCACATGCTTTACCCAATCATGTAACAACGAGCCATGTACAGAGCCGCATAATACCACACCATCTGGCTTATGAGACTATGAATTTTGCACAATCTGTTTGGTCCTGGTGATAATAAATACGCCTTTGAATACTTTAATTTCTTGCCACAATAATTTGTAAATTTTACACAACATGTGGTTATGGTTACACTAGAATGCAAATCTAAACTTAATAAAGAGATTTACAAAAATAATTGAAAATCTAAAATTATTTGCTGAGTTGTAGAAGTTTCAGATTTGAACACTGTCCTTTTCTGCTATGATCCATCTGTTCATTTGTTTATTACAGAAAAGTAAAAAAAAAAAACTTACTGTTTTTTTTTTTAATGCAGTGTGAATGCTTTGTGCTGAAACACTGCTGAAACTGGCTCAATCCAAATTGAGATGCGGTTAAATAACGTCATTAAAAGTAGCACTGATTAAAACTGCAAGCAGTGATGAAGGGCCCTCATGCACAGGAGCGATCCAGACCATGCGTAAACCTGGCTGACGCTGTAGCTGGCAAGTTCTGTCAAGTTTTGTTAGGCACAGCCAACCTAGATAGTACAAAATAGCCAGTTATGCAACAACCAGGACAAGTTCAAGTTCGCCAAGGTGCCACAGCCACAATCTTTGGCTGCCAGTAGCTATGACCTTTTTCCACAGTTTTTCTAAGGGTCGGAGCTTCACACAGTAATTCTAAAATCATTTGGATGAAATATGAAATTTTGGGGAAAAAAATTCAAACACTAAATGTTACTTTTTGCACAGCCATTGGGTGGCACATTGATGAACATTAGCATAAAGGCCATGTTCAAGCATCACAAACATTTTTTGCAAAGATGGACAATTTACATTGTTACCCTCAACATTGGCCTTGACTTATCAACCGTTACTATGTATAAATCCATGAGCAAACTTGATAGTGCACACTATGCTAATTTATTCACCGTACGCAGTGAGGACTACATCTGTCAGATGAGCAAAACAGCAGCCACAACCCATTTAGCATGTCTGCCTTCATGAATATGTAGATTTTATGATGATTAGCAGGTCACACAAAATACTGGGCGGAGGATCTTTCTTTTAGGAATCTTTCTCCAAATACAGCCTGCATTACAATAATTAGGCTACACACTGAAAATGATAACATTTAATGTGATGGTGTTTTCCTTTTACCACAAATTTTATAAAAACAATAAATCTGTTAGGCACACAACTGACAATTGATGAGGGTATAGCGAACTCTTGCAGAGGGGCAGAGATGACAGCTTTTGCAGGGAGTGGTAGGGTTGCATTCTCAGCCCCTTCGAAATACAGGACAGCTCCCACAGGGGTGGGACTATATTACGAAATGCATCAATTATGACATCGCACCACAATTTTTCTTAGTTCATCAACATCTGAGTTGCATCCACCTAAACACGATTTAATCGTCCATCCGTCCATCCATTTTCTTCCGCCTATCCGAAGTCAGGTCGCGGGGGCAGTAGCTTCAGAAGGGAGGCCCAGACCTCCRTCTCCCCAGCCACTTCTTCCAGCTCCTCCGGGGGAACTCCAAGGCGTTCCCAGGCCAGCCGAGAGACATAGTCCCTCCAGTGTGTCCTGGGTCTTCCTCGGGGCCTCCTCCCGGTGGGACGTGCCCGGAATACCTCACCAGGGAGGCGTCCAGGAGGCATCCTTACCAGATGCCCAAGCCACCCCAACTGGCTCCTCTCGACGTGGAGYAGCAGCGGCTCTACTCTGAGTCCGTCCCAGATGACCGAGCTTCTCAACCTATCCCTAAGGGAGAGCCCAGCCACACTGCGGAGGAAGCCCATTTCGGCCACTTGTATCCGAGACCTCGTTCTTTCGGTCATGACCCAAAGCTCATGACCATAGATGAGGGTAGGAACGTAGATCGACCGGTAAATTGAGAGCTTCGCTTTTTGACTCAGCTCTCTCTTCACCACGACGGACCAGTACAGCGCCCGCTTTACAGCAGACGCTGCGCCAATCTGCCTGTCGATCTCCTGCTACCTTCTCCCCGTATTTGTGATCAAGATCCCCAGATACTTAAACTCCTCCACTTGAGGAAGGATGACCCCCCTGACCCGGGGAAGGCACTCTACCCTTTTCCGGCTCAAGACCATGGCCTCG